AACAATCATGTCAATGCACTCTGGTGCAGTTCGATCATCACCAATCCTCTTCTTCCCTAACAACTAACAATTTAACCCTTCAACCCAAAAAGTTAAACATATTAACCCTTTCGTTTAAAAAAAAAAAAAAAAAAAAAACATAATATATTTTAATTTAATTATTATGAATATTAAAGTCATAGTTGTGGACCCCTGAACTTATCCTTTCACTAGGTCAATACCTTCTTAGAAGTTAGAAATCTCTCTTCTCCAACCCCTCCAATACCACAATAAGACTGTTGTTTAAAGGTCTTGATGGTCGACCTAATGACCCTTGACCAACAATATAATATTTTTTTCTGTAGACATCCACAAATAAGTTCTCTCCATTTTTTGGGACCAACGGTGATGCAATGTTAAAATTTAAAACCGTTGAGAAATTAAGATGCTAAGATCATACTAAAAGACACAGTGCATATCATATTTAAAGGACATATATATATATATATAAAAATTAATCATCGATGGTAATAGAAAACCCTCATTTTTCTGTTTTCATTAAGCAGGGTGAATTATTCTAACTTGAGACGTCTTTGAACATTGTAGAAGAGAAATACCCTTCTTTTAGTTGTATATCATACAAAAACTTCTTCTTAGTGCATTACATATCGAATTAAGAAATAGACTCAAAACCTCTATTAAATCGCATAAATGGCTAAACAATTTGTGTTTTTAAGCTTGATATGAAATGGTAAAAAAAAAAAAAAAGAATAACGAGAGTCAAACTCTTATTATAAATGTATAAAAAAGTGACCATGTTTTTAAGCTTGATAAAAAATGCTGAAAAAGACGAATGATGTGGGTTAAACTCATATTCACTACAAAAGAAAATCATTTTCAGACGAAATTATTTCGTCGGACCAAATAAAGTTTCGTCGCCTATAATCTTGCTCGACAATATTCCATCAGGCAATGTTTGTCATACAAACATCGTCGTAGTAGATTTTACCCGACAAATAGTACAAAGTACAAAGTGTTCAACTCAACCATTGAAGCTAATGAAGCGGAAAGTACTGCAAAGAAAAACCATTGAAGCTAATGCAAACTAAATTTTAACAAATATTACCATATTTATATCATAATCTATCTAATATATCATGTATAGTTATATGATTGGGTGACATATACCGTGTGTGGAGCCAATTCCAAGCCTTTGACTGTCTAATACTTCTAGACGTTTGATGAGTGAACACCCCAACGATGATTGCGGCGAATTAAAGTTACCCTAATCCCTCTTTGCTATTTTTTTAATCACTCACTTTGAGACCCCAATTTTTAATAACATTATTTTTAGACTCCATCTTGTGATTTTAACATCTTGGCCGCACATGGGAGGTCAAAGTCAACATTTTTCTTTGTTTAACTATAAACTAAATGTATTAAGTTAATCTAATTGGAACAATGCTAAAACGCGTTTATAGAAACAAAACGACAAAGTGACTTTAATTACTAGGCAATAAGGACAAACCCGCATGGATTTGCGTGCACGGCTCTATAAAATGTTTGTGTGTGATTCCTTCTCCTTTTCGAGCCATGATTGCATATTTACGCATCCGCACGTAAAACCGTACTTGTTTTCCCGCTCTTTTTCTATCTCGTTGTAAATTTCTTTTTACACTTGTTCCAACTTTTCAACTCGGAAATTAACCCAGAACAATATAAAAACTACAGACCAAATGATATTGGAAATTAGATTTTTAAGGTTATTGACCGCAAAAAAAAATTAATAAAAAACTAACTAGGGTATGAAAGATATTTTACTCTGGGCAATTGCTACTGGTATAAACTGCGTAATTGTGCATAATTTCTTCAATTTATGATAACATGGATATATATATATAGAATCTATCGATGATTTTAAAAGGATGATTTTATAAGAACCAAAGTCCCAAGTTCACTAGAAAATATGAGAACCTCAAAATTTGTTGGTATGATAAAATATCCTTTTATACCTACCTATCTCAACTCTAGACTCGGTAAGATTCCTAATTCAAAGAAAAATACGATAATATATATACATCAAAGTTCCAAATATACGCCTAAAACCTAAAAATAAATTTTGACCTAGTAAACATTAGAATTTAATAGTATAGCTATGTATTTGATTGGAATTTAAACTATAAACTAAATATATTAAGTTTTTTTTACCATGTCAAGTTGTTCTTTGTTCCATTTCTCCATGTATATATTCTCCATCATTTTTACTTGATGAGATCTTGAGATTTTTTATCTATGAGTGGTCTTTAATTTCTTTTAGGGTGAAACTTGAGGTGCTTGTTTTGCACTGCGAAGAAATTTGTATGATTAGTTAAGGTTCTAAAAGGCGTTAGGTGCTAGTCGGACGGTGGGTAGGGGCCTAGCACCTAGGCATCTAGGCAAGGGTCTAGGTGGTTTTTTTAATTTTAATTAAATTTTTTATATAATATATAAATAAATGTCTACTTATACAAAAAATAAATAAATAATTGTATATAAATTTGCAAAATAAAAATGGCATGAGGATTATAAAGTATTAGAACATATTGAAAACATGGAGAAAATAGAATGCAAAATGAAAGTTATCTATTTTTTGTTTAAGTGAGAGTGACCTAAGCGGGAGCCTAGATAGGTCTAGGCGTCTTTTCTTAATTTTCAAACACATAAGGATTAATTGAAGTGGTGGATAGACGCCTAGCACCTAGGCGGAGACTTTTAGAACAATGTGATTAGGTTATATATCTTTTTTTTTTTGCATTATTGGTAATATATCTAACTTCTATTTCACAATATTCATGTTAGATTCCACCTTACATTAATTCTAATTTTATTTCTAATTTCTGATATAATAATAAATGAAACAAGGATTAATTGATATAAAAAGTCAAAGTCATGAAAGAAAACGAAAGTCTCACAAGAACAATCCATTAACTTGCAACTTGTTTTCCTGAAAAAGGAGAAGGAAAACATTTAAGCCTTGCCACAATGCGGATTTTGATGGAGTCAAAACCAATTAGAGGATCAACTTGTGTTTTAGTCCAATGAATGGACCATATATATTGTGTTTTAGTCCAATGAATGGACCATCTATATTTATTATATATAGAGTTTCTTATAAATAATAGAAACATAAATACAATTAAGCAAGGAGGTGGATATATGGATGAGAATGTTAGAAGAAAAATGTGAGATTTGTTTTGTTGGTTGGTTGGTGGATTATTCTGATCAACCGGAAACGATCAATTTATTAGTTAATTTGTCACCGTAAAAAATTAAAGAAAAATCAAACTTAATTAAGTTCTTCGTTATATGGACATGGAATCTTGACTTGGACTAAATACACATATGAAGATTGTTTAATTTGAGTTGTAAGTGGTGGTGGTGGTGGTGGTTCACGGGAACTAAACTGTGTGATCCGTTGGATTTTGTGTAGGTCCTCTTGGTTTTGTTTATCCTAAACCTAAACTAAACTAATCCACAAGACCACCAAAAGTTTTTTCTGATATATCTTTTTATTAGTATAGCAATAAAGTTTTCTTGTTGGTTGATCACTGCTGAGTACAAGCTAAGTTGTATTAATTAATTTAAAAAATCTCCACTGACTTGTTTATGATTGTTTTTTTGTAAGAAATACGTCGACTCATGTGCCATTTTAATAAGAAACACAACAAAAATAATGCCTATTAAAAAATATTTGGAATTGCTTCCTGAACTCTTATTGTTTTGTGATGGAAGATGTTTTACAATTGAGAATTAATCTTTTTAGTTGATTATGCAAAATATTGTTATAAACTCTTTTTATTATCTAAAAACGCTTTTATTCATTTGAAAAACATTACAGAACACACCATGTTTGAAATGGTTTGGCTTTTCAAATTATAATCCTCTATTACAAGGACTTCGAAATGTTGGAGAATTACAATATGAACATAAAAACCCCAGATTGTTTGACAAAAACAGATAGGCAATGAACTTTATGGGCTTATTAGCCGACTCTTTACGCAAAAGTGCAAAAACTCAAACCCATATACAAGATAAAAAAATCCCATCTCAAACTCTCATGTATAAAACAGTAACTGAAGTGTGGCTTGATTTACCAAAAAATAAAAAGAACTGCTAATGCTTTTTACATTAGGTGCTCAATGACATGCTTATATTGTATGCTTTACGAAGGTAAAAAAGAACAGCAGTCTGAGTTCTGAATCCCTATTTAACGATGAAAGATGCTAGCATTATTCGCATTTAGAAGTGCAGTGAAATGTTTACTACTAGTTAATACAATTCTCACACAAATCACTGAGAAATACTATATTGCGAAATATGCTAGCAGCAGTCGCACATAAAAACCCGGCACACCATATCTATTATTAATTAATGTGAGTCCCAAGCAAATTAATGGCAAATATTGCACTACAATTGATACTAACACAAATCATTCATGTTCGAACTTTGTTGAACTGTGTCAAGCTAAGCGATCATTAAGTGCAATCCCACCAACTTAATTGAACTCGGTCAAGAACAGAAACGGTACTAACTCGATAATTAAACAGGAATTGCTCGAAAAGATAACATTTCCTACAATATACAAACAGGAAGATAATTATCCCCCTTTCAAAGGCAACAACTAGGGCCTTGTTCAAAAATCAAATCATTGTATTAGTTGACTTAATCACACATTAAGGTGTTAACATCATGTCATTTCTGACTAAAAGTGTAGGACTGCGAATATTATATCAGCAACCATCCAGATCTCCGACCCTTTTGAGAAAGGATAAGATGTGCACTGACATCACCACAGACCCAGCAACACATCCACACATAACACCTCAATCTTTGCTTAGGTTTGCCGACAAATTTCTTTCACATCGAAGTTTCCGTGGGTCCATAACATAATTTTCCATCCCAAAGTTTCAAATTTAAATCGTAGATTTCTGCCCCTTGATTAAGAGTATTCATTAAAGCGTGCACTAACATGAAAACCAAACTTAAGAGTTAATCAAGGTACTGAATATCCATTTCACAACAAAGCACGCCCTATCAATTTAATGTTGTAGCAATTTCACACGTTACAGAACAAGCACAAATATTCCACCACGTATCAAAACTGGTCCTAAATAAATATAACATCTTCTGCCACGAACAAATGTTCTCTAACTAAGCAGAACACGAACTTGAAGCGCGAATATGAAGAGAGCACGTATGATTCTTGCAAGTAAATAGACGATGGACAGTTTAGTCACTTGAGAACTTAAAACTGAACCATATTCCCAACCGGCTGGTGGTGAAAATTCAATTCACAAATCTTTAGGGGGAGATTGTCGAAGTCTGCGCTGATGAACATCCCAGTTGTACACCCGAGCAATTGTTACCTGATTAATAGTAGTCAAAGCGTTATGATTTCCAGCAATGAGAAATATATACTGGTTACTAAACAGAGACATCTAAGCATTACAAGAAGTAATTGCTTTCATCAGCCACTACCGCTGTTATAGACTTTAGATTTTTTTCCTTCACATTTGTTCTTTTGGTAATTATAGACCTTAGACTTTAGCAAGTTTCATACTCTTTAATGCCTATAATTAAACAATGTATAGTATCCACACATAAAAAGCACAGAATCCATGAACTTATTCTTTCAAATTCAGTACCTGGGTTATTGTCACTTGATCTCTCAAGAATTGTAGATCAGCAAGAAGAACTTCTAAACTGGCTCTAGCATTGTCTAAATTCTTTTGGAGAAGAGCAGTAGCCTGCATCAAAATATTACAGAACTGATGCTAGTGTTCTAAACTCGAAAGCAATAAACAGCTAATATAAGAAGTGGCTTACCTCTTCACAAGAATACTCCAACATGACATTCGCACCCAGCCATAAACAGACTGAATCAGTATCGTCAATGCTAGCTCGTGAATATATCCCTTCAGATACCTCAAAATCTGTAATAAGTTCCTGCATCCCGAATACAGTGTGAAGAAAAAATGATCTAATTAATTGACGGGAACTTTAATAAAAAACTCCTGGTACTGTTCACTTTAACGAAAAACCACATTTTTACACTAAAAAATCAATCATGGTACTATTCACTTTACCCTTTATTTTGTCATTATCGTTAAAACTCAAAGTTTTCAAGCCCTTTTCATTAGTTTTCCTTCAATTGAAAGCTGAAATTTTGATATATGAGCAAATGGTGTGTACTCTACATTTGTGATCAATTGGCATCATCCACGGTATTCTGTAATCTGTAATTTTAGATCTAATTATCTTGTATTTCAGTAAGACTCACAGAATCTGCCATATTCAGATACTGCTTTAACTGCTGGTTACATAAAGTATGGAAATATCATTCCTCTCCTAACCCCCAGAACCCACCCACCACTCAAAACACACTCACACACAAACTCTCTAAAGCACTTTTACTAAGTCTAAACACAACTCCAATCCTAAAAGATGTAAGAAAAACCTACAAAGTTCTCAATTACATAGCATAGTTTGTAGTTAATTAAACAAGAATACCTCTTTGAAGGCCTAAAGGGACGGTACAAAATTCACAGTAAGGAAGGCAAAAATATTTAAGCCATTTAGTCCTAAACAGGAATTGCAGGGTAGATCCTCACTAAGAAAGAAAGAAATGAGAAACAAGCGGGGATGGAAGAAGATAAGTTATAGGAGATGTAAAAAAGATAAAGAATCAATCATACACCAATAATTTAATTTTTACCATCACTAAGCTCATGTATGAGAGTAAAATTCAAACCATGAATTGAGTAAAACTGCATGTGTTACAAGAAAACATGCTTCGCAAATGGGACATCACTAGGGAAAATCATGCTGCTAAACAGGTCCATCAAATACAAATAGAGATAGAACAAGTATAGTATTACACATACTGCAAAGGGTGGAGAATCACAAAAAACGAACCTCACCAGTACCCTTCTTGGCTTGCAAAGTGGCAACAACGTCTAAGCACTTCTCAATATCAGGGATCTTTGCCTAATAATCAAAATGAAGGAATCCAAAATTAATACATGGGAAAAAAAAAACATTGGAGAAACAGTATAAGTTGATATAAAACACATCAATCCGATTTTTCAGATACTGAAGTCACAGGTCAGGTACAATCATGAGTGAAGCAATACCATAACATGTATTTTTATAAACAGAACCTGAAAAATCACTACAATCATTTTCTCTCACGAGTGGGTCAAGTTAACTATAAAAACTTGGATTTTTTTTTTTTTTTTAATTTTTTTTTACGGGCAAAGTCCAATATAGCTGTAGATTTGACTCAAGGTTTAAAGGCAAACTCCAACGTGCCACTGTGCCAAGTAGCATCAAATTTCATAAGTACCGGCGAAAGCTATAAATGGGGTAAAAACTATGTCAGATGCAATGGTGTTCAGTCTGTCGACACACTGTCTAATAATCACTTGTAGTTGGGTGCTTTTCGAAACAACACACGAGCCTCGTAGACTAATCGAATAACAAAGAACACAATGCTATGATCTAAAGAAAAGGGCTTTGCCGAGAAAACCTGAAGATCTCTCTGCTGAGCTTGAAGCTTCATTTCAACCAATTTGTACTGCTGAAGTCTGCAAGCAACAATCACACAGGGAAAGAAAAAAAAAAACATTAACAAGCATCCATTTTAACAGTTTTTATTCCTTGAAGCAAAAAAGTACTGGAAAAATAGCTCTTTTCATATATTTCAATCCAAATTTAAAACGTACGAATCAAAAATCCGATCACAGAATTAAAATTACTTTAAAGGGTCAATAGATAAAGGAGTGAATCGAAATGGGCAGAACCTTTCTTGGAGAAAGGCGAGGGCAGAGTTGACGTCGAGGCCTAACTGAGTGAGATAGGTCTGCACGTCCTCTACGAACTGCGCTCCTGGTATTCCTCTCCGCTCTGTCACCGCCGCAGACGACGATGATGACGATTCCGTAGCCATTCCCTCTCTCTCTCACAATCTCAGGACAATTGCAATTTCAGACGGAGAAACAACTTGTAGTTGTGGATGCTTCCACAGTTTTGACTGAGCTGAGAAGCAGGGATGGAGGAGGTAGACCGAAAAACGACGTCACTTTTGGTTTAGAGTGTTATTGGACTGCAATCTTTGAGTCAAGTGTGGGCCGGTGGGATTAGTAAACAAAAAGTCCATAATTCAAGCTTTCAAAAGCCCGTTATTAGGGTTCAATAGATATTGGGCCAACTTGAGAGGATTTTGCATGTGGGGCTCTATCCAATCATCTTACTAATTGCGTGTTGTAGCACCCAAAAGATATTCCATTTCTAAACCCATTTGGAAAATTTCAGTTATTAAAATGACCATTTTTCAGATTCTGTTGATATGTTGATGTTGTCAATATTTGATCCATAACGAGGATTTGTCATTTCCCCTAATTTTCAAACTTCTTTTTGTGGGCAACTTTTGACTTTCCTCCGATATCAAAACTCTAAATAAAATGCATAGTCCTCAGAGCTAATCCGAATTATGAGAAAAAATGACGATAATTTATGACAAAGGAACTTTTAAAGGAGGGATTTTTTTTTTCTTTACCTTGTTCATAGTGTGTGGATGATTGACTTGAGTTTTGTCACGATAGAGGCCATTGTAGGGTGGGATAATTTATGCTAGATCGAGTGAAAGGGTAATTTTATTTTCCATGTTGCGTTGGGATACAACTCATGCCAGCTTAAAACTACCTTTGACCATTGATAATATATAGGTTAAGAGTTCCATTTCGTCAAATGTGACATAAACTTCAAGGCGAAAAAATCTACTTGAAGCGTTCCAAGTGAAGAAAAATGGAGATGAAATGCATGAGCTCCACAGGCTTAATACTACAGATTTTTGTAAAGCATCCAAGACAAGATAGATTATTCCCATCTTTTATCAAATTCAGTGAATACACACACACACACACACACACACACACACACACACATATATATATGTGGTTTGAATGAATTGGGGATAACAAGAATACGACACTAGTCTTAGAATCGTATGGTGGGTTTCGTTTATATATGTGGTCATGATAGAACAATAACATTCTTTGCTTGTGAAACTGTCTTACAATCGAGCTTTGTATCTGGATATTACTTTCTAATTTCTTCAAAGCTTGGAAGTAAGTCAAAGTTGGCTCAACCCGAAGACTACGTAACAATATCATATATATTGGTCAACGGCAGCTAGGGCACTTGGATAACGCATTAGAGGAATTTTTATGGTGTTTCAGAGTATTCAATGATTAAAAGGATTGAAGTAATATACTCTGAAGCACCATAAAATTGTTCTCGAATTTTTATGGTGTTTTGGAGTATTCAATGATTAAAACATTTGAAGTATATACTCTGAAACACCATATAATTGTTTGCACAGTATTCATTTATTGGCTATCGTTGCATGCAATGTTATGGGATTGGTTTATGCAACATAGATGCATCAAAACAAAACCTAAATTGGAAAAGAAAAAAAAAAGAAGATACTAATGATATGTATATATAGCCCTTGAAGAGTTGAGATGGTTAAATTATCTCCTCATTAAAGTCTTTTACAACGGTTTATATGAGTTTAAACTAAACAATATATTTTGTAATTTAAACAGTCAGACTCAACCCCTGTAGAGCTCAGATTCTCCAACTTACCATGCGAACTTGGTTACAATTTGTAGCAATTAATTAAACTCAAAATTTCCAGTCCAGATTTTTTTCAGCTGAAGATTAATTTAATAAGATGAGAGTTTAAAAGTGAGAAAATTTGGCATCGTTTCTTGAGCGTCCTCTCATCTCTTTGACAAGGTAGCTGCTGTGTCACTGTATCACACACTTGTTTGGTCCCCGCAAGAAGATAATGAATATAATTATCTATGTGCATGACAACTAAACCGATTAATTACGACAACATTACTCCAATTATTGTTGATGTTATGTTTGACCACAATTAGACCATGCGAAAGAAACATGCATGTTTCTTTTATCGAATTTTGAAAAGAACTCGTAAAAAAACAATTCTTTTTTACTTCTACCCATAACATGAAACTAATAAGATATCTAGTAAAATCCCAGCCGGCCAAATGACACAGAGAACTATAGCCTGTAGAGAGTACGGGCATCAGAGCCCTCGAGAGAGAAAGGGAGATACATCTCGCATGGTGAGGGAGAGAAAACGGTGTTGTTTAGCGTGATCTTATTTACAACCGCACAATTAACGTCAATGGATGAGATTAGTTGGTCTGCAGGCTCCGTACAAAAAGATCTGGAGGGGATCCTAGTCCAAAACTACAAAGATATATAGAAAATTTTCAGCAGGCCAAATGCACACACAAAGAACCAGAGACTATAGAGAGAGTATGGGCAATCATAGCCCTTGAATGAGCGGAGATCTTTTTTAGGGCTCAGATATTCGAATTAAATTATGCATTGCTATCGGCATCGATCATTTTCATCTCTCTTTTTTTCAAATAGATGTTTGGTAAGTAAAATAAAGAGCACATATCACCAACTAAATCTCGACAAAATTAAGTACAAGCCCTTCGGCCCCTAACGTGAACGAATGCTTTCAATGAAAACAGCATACCTTCTTTCTTCTAAGACAGATCAGTGAAACACACATTAAAAGGGAAATATTTTCCCCTTATACAAAATTACAGTTAAACTTTTAACCTATATATATATATATATATATATATCTTATGTGTCAAGTTTTAAATCGTTAGACTTGATATAATGGCTTAGATAGAATAAAATGCAAATAAATGCACAAAGCCTAAATATGGAGACTCGATATTTCGTACATATATATATATATATATATATATATATATATACATGCTTTAAAGTTTGAAATATTTTGGCAGAAAAATGTGACTTAATTATACATGCATATGGTACCTGCAGAAATGTCTAGCTTGGTCCCCTATCCATTTAAGTGAATCACCCACCCATCTTTCTTGTATCCGAATTCTGAAGGTAAAAAACAATTTGGCAGATCTGTGCATGCATGCATCCATTTACGAAAAGCAAATGAAATTTCCTCATCAAAACGTACGTGCTTCGCATGGCTGCTGCTGCTACTGCAAGCTAGATGAAAACCCTCATCATACTCCTTTTTATCCTTACTTTCTTTTCTTTAAAACTAAATTGCTCTGTTAGCAATTTTTCTTTGGGTTTAGTTTATTAACTATACTGTGATAATTCATAAACTAATAAAAGTCTAAAACCACACATTAGTTAGCTAATGTCGGAAGATTAATAGTACAGTGATTAATTATTAGCTTTTGAGATGTTAAGCCAAATTGGCATCTTCATGCTCAATATCGATCAAATCATAAGCCATGCATGATCAGTTTTTAGTTTCTAGCACATTGTATTAATTGAGCGGAATGCATATAAACCCTTGAAAGCTTGTGAAAAACCTTGTCACGCACTAAAGAAAAAGACTTGTCTAATCCAATCAATTAGTAACTATATATGACACAAACAATATATAAAAGGTGACCCAAATTAATATGGCTCTGCACCAGAGAAAAGAAGAGTACAGCCAGCTTCTCAACTTGGGAAGCAACTTATGTATGATATGGAAATCCCGTTATCGTGGCGTTTCGTGTCAACGTTATATATAGAAAAAATTAAATATATCTTTATATTATTATCACGAGAAACTATGATGACAATGTACATGTATTATTTAAATCTTTCTCCTCAACTTGAGCTTATTTTCAAGGTCGATATTATTAATGTGGCCAATCCTAATTGCATCTCCAATGGTATAGGCAATCAAAGTAGGCAAACTTGTATTATAAAGGTTAACGTGACATGTTGCCCACTCAATTGCTTCATGGAAAAAGTTTGTCACTCCAATAGTTTAGACAAACCAAATAGGCAAAATTATATTTATTATTTTCTTTCATCTATAATATTTAATTTTACCTCTTAGTTTTGTGACATAGAAGATTTTACTCTAAAAGGAGATGTGAGGCCCCATTGGCCTGCTCATGGTATTGTAGTTAACATTGCCTACGTACTTTGGAAGAATAGGCAAAATCTGCAATGGTTGCTGCTTGTTACACACATTTTCTCACCTCATATACAACCCTCAAGTTTTGTAGCCGTTAGATTAAACAATTAAAGTAAAATCAATAATTACGATTAACAAAGGGTGTGTACAATATAAAAAGACTGTTAAAATCACTATCCATTTGCAAACTTAATTGCCTATACCATTAGAGGTAGTTTTTGCGTATGTAGCTCATCAAAATAAATTTGTCTACTCGATTGTCGACCCTATTAGAAGTGCTCTAGTGTACAAGAAATTGCCCTCCATACTCCATATACAATAATTGGAGTTACTATTCAGGATATTTTTAGTAATTAATCATCACCCTATGGGTTTAATAAAAGGAAAATTAACGAAAAGTCCAAAAAAACTTTAGTTTTAATGAAAAATGACAAATAAAGGTATAGTGAATGGTACCAAAAAAAAGTAAAAATATAGTTTTTTGTTAAAAATGAACAGTACCAGGAGTATTTCGTTAAAGCTCTCTTTAATAAATTCATCATTTCTAGCTAGGAACGTTCTTCTCTTGTTTTATTCCTTTAATAATTCCGAAATCAATTGGCGATCCCAATAATCCAGATTGAATCCTATAAATTGAAGAAAAATATCCCTAATTCCTGGTGCATGTCACCATAAATAGGGTCTTCTCTATAAAATAAAAATGTGAGCTCAAACTGTAACAGAATCATACAATACATTAGAACAAATTATGGTATGAAACTTAAACAATGCTATGTATTTTCATTTTTCACTTGTTATTATATGCGGATCGATGTATTTAAACTTTAAGAGTCACCATAATCATCTAAAAACGAAAACAAAAAAATACAAGTGAGGAGGGAAAGGGGACATGAAACCTAACCCTTAAAGAATTCATTTGATGATCATTTTATTTTTATTTTAAATTTTGTATTAAAGTGGAGGAAGTACATCTAGAAGTAAGGAAATGTACAAGATGGAAAGAAAAAACTGTATTAAACTTATTGG